ATTGCTTTAACCGGTTCGTTGCCAGAGATCATCAAATCAATCTGTATAAAAGGATCAGAGGGGAACAAAACCAACGGTTGAGTGGGGCCCCCAAGCTTAATTTGATTACAATTCTTTTTCAAAAGAATTCCATTTATATGTGTTCAAAATAACATACTTCACTTCCAATCCGCTCTCTGCTAATTTTTGCTGCAAGAGCAGTCTTCACATCATCAGAGGCAGCAGCTTCCTTTAGTTGTTCCTCTAGAATAAAGCCAAACCTTGCACCTGAATCGACAAAACACAAGCCAAACAAACTTATATGAGACGACTATTCAATTAATCCTTTTACTTTAGTTATATATGAACGTTACTTCAAATGATAATTCTTTTGCAGCATATTCTTGGAGCTCTTAAAAATGTAAATGCAAATATAACTATGTGAATCTATGCTAATTAGCAGATATTATAAGAAAAGGTAAAAAACAAAACTGTTAAAGATGGTGTCCTAAAGACTATTGCTAGCTTGTTTAAACTAAACTGAAAAATAGGTGAAATTCAATGAATGTAATTGTCAAAGGACCACAAACATAAGTTTTGTTAAAGAAGAATATAGAAAAAAATATATAATCTAGAAACAAACAAATTCATGCAAGTTGGTTGACCAAACAAGAAAAGTTGGAGAAAATTTGTTTGAGATGCCAATTTCTATGTAAAGGATGGTGATTTAAAGAAACATAAGGTCCTCTAAACAATATAAGAATAAATATGTGGTTGAATTGATGAATGGATGAGAAGATCATAGAACTTATGTAAATTAAAGAAATGGCAAATCCAAATGGCATTCCAAAAGCACCAGACAAAGGAAGTGGATATCTTGCAGTATTTTCTTTTTTCTAATAATCAGGGTTAAACAAGCACTGAAAAAAAAAATGCATGTTTGCTTTCATAGTATAATAAACAACATTAAGAAAAAAAAGACCATAAATTTCTCCAGTTCAACTAAGAGACCAATAAACAAAGGTGCAAATTCAAATACCAAACCGAATAGCTCGAAGAACTCGTAAGGGGTCATCCAAAAATGTAGCTTTTGGAGGTAATGGAGTTACAATTTTTCCAGATTTCAGATCCGAAATGCCTGATATTGAATAGAAGAGGGAGAAAAAGTTAACAGCAGAGATAAACCTTTAAATTTTCAATCTCATCAGCAATGAGAAGGATGAAGCCAATAAGAGAACATACTAACCTCTTCCGGTTAGATCTTCAACAGAGCAGGTATTAATATTATAGAACAAGCTGACAAATGAATAGGAATCCTCGTTAATATCAGACTTGTGTTTTCTCCACAAATTTTCAATTGAAATACTCCTATTAGATTACCTAAACAAAAGATGGTTTATGGGGTTCCGAAAGGAAGATACTTGTTGGAAATGGGTGTTTCATTTTACATAAAATAATCACTCCAGGATGCTCTTCGGATGAGAAGAGTATAAGATAAAGGTTAAAGAAAAAGCAACTTCATTTTAAAAATAAAAAATAAAAAAAGACAACTTCATTTTAAACAAGAAGTACCATTCACTTTCATATGGTTGATGGATTAGGAATAGAGTTTTATGAGATCTTATAGACATCCCACTAACAAAATCTTTCGTTATGATGTTTTTGGTTAAAGTTGACTCCATGTCAGGAACTCGACATTAAGTTGAAAAAGATCAATACCTGAGTGTATATCTTGCATACCTCTAGATCACTGCATTTTACTCTTAAGATCTTTAAATAAATTGAGGAAAGTAAAGGTAGGTACCTGTTAATTGTTAAATCCCTTCTATAAGCATCCTCCTCTGCTGTCCCAAATTTCTGCAGTTAGACATGAGTGAACTTAAGATCAAAACATCCAGCATGAGATATTATATCCAAAATTATAGTCTACAGTTAGTAGACATGAGGTGAAAAAAACTAAAATATTCAGCATAAGCAATCTAGACAATATCATATCTGAAATTATAGATGATATAAACGTTAAAGAAATAAACAACAGATTGTTTTTTTTAAATGAAAAATGTGACGAATATATATTAACGTGGTACCAAGAAAACAAAGGG